GCCCATCTTTTTATTTTTTTTACTAAGTTAAATTTTAGGTTTATATAATCATAATTATTAACTAATCTGTTTGTTTAAATAAATCTATTTGTTTTATTTTTCAATTAAAAATATTATTAATAAAATAATAATATAAGATAATTAAGTAAATATTTAGCAACAATATTTAAAGTCAAAATATTTTTATTTTTAAATATTTAGTTTTATATATTTACTATTTTAATATTTCGGTACACAGATGTAATATTAAAAGTAGATAATATTCATCATAATTATATTTAATAATAAAATATTATTATAAATTAGAATTTATTCATAATAATAACAATTACTTTAAATACACTTTTAATTTAATAATAATTATTAAAATTATTATAATCAATCTAGAATTTACTTTTAATTTGATTATAATAATACTAAAATTTATAAAAAATATAATATGAAACTTTAATTTATTTTAAAATGTATAGAAGAATAAATATAACAATTAAAATATATCACTTCTATTAATTAACAATTTTTGACACACCTGTTACTTTAAAAATTAAAATTACTTTATATTTACTTCTAATTTTATTATTCTATTTTTAATATAATAAATAATTAAATCAAAATTTATTTCTCACAAATATTTTTCTAAAAACAACTATATTACTTAAAATCTCTATTACACTTGAGATATATAGGACCATACAGATAATATATGTCAAACCTTAAAACATTAAAAATATATTATCGTTTAATTTAAATAAAAATATTTAATTTTAAAATGTTTATAAATGTATAATAAAATATTACTTTAATTTTAAATGATAAAATAAATAATTTTTAAGATATTTAACTTTTATTTTTATTTTTTAGAATCAAAATAATAATACCTTATCTAGTAATTAAATTTTAAATCTAACTTTTATTTCACATATTTTTTATTTTTTGATATTTTTTTAATATAAATATTGATGATGACTTTATTATTATTTTTTATTTAAATTTGTATTTTCATCGTCTCGTAATCTAACTTGCAACATCTAGTATTTCTAAAATTCAAAACTTATCTTTTAAGCAGTAATTCAAATGAATATCAATTAAGAATGTCATATATAATGAAATAGTCTACAGTATGAAAATATAAGATGAAAAAAAAATTAAGTCTAAGATGAACTAAGTCTTTTACCATTAAATAATATTTTGTTAAACTATATATAGACAAAAAAAGTTTACCCAACTCAAATCAAGAATGATTTTAATGTTTTATAAGGATAGAAACTTTTGTACTTAGAATAACAATCAATCATCAAAATAAACTGACAACCAATATTGAATATAAATTAACTTTATCAATACTGAAAAGTTCTACACAAGATAAAACATTTTCCGAAGATCCTATAAAAATAGATTCTTATGTATGAAGAACAAGATTAACTGCTTGATATTTAAGAATTATCTACATAAAAACATTTTATTGGATGAAGTAGTGATGGAAGTAAAATTTTCTCCTCCACCTTGAGTCGACCAAGAATAAAAAATCATTAGCTAAACTTATTGAAAAACTCGACACTGCCCCTCAAGTTTGTGAGAAAAATAAAAGAAAATTAATCCTAATTTAGGATTATCCCTTGTTTTTGGTGAGTGTAGTAGTCTTTAGTTCAAGTTGAAATCTAATTGAAGGTATAAAAGTAATCTATTATGACTCAACTAATCCATAATTTTTATAAACAATAAATTTAAACCTATACAAATTTTACAAGGATAATAAAATAAAAAAAATTGTCTAATATAATATGCTCTATATAGAAGAGTCCTATGAAAAGTTTATTCTTTCATATTCTTAATCATAACATTATTAAAGTTCATTAACTAATTTTTATATAATTCTTTGTCATTTAATCTAATACTAACAGACACCAATTATAAATTCATTATAAATAAACTTTGTATTTTATGTTCAAAACTTTATAACACCAATTTTATAACTCAAAATAACATTACATAATTTTGTTTTATATAATATTATTTTAAATTACGTAGTGATTATTTGTAATGGTTAAATAATTATTTATTATTATTATTATTATTATTATAATAATCGTGAACGTACGAATTCGATTGTGTTAACAAATACTTGTGAATATTTTAAGAAAATAAAAAAAATATATCATAATTTCTTTATATACTCATTTAAATAAAAAATAAATGAAAAATAATTTTTTTAACAAATTTTAATCATAGTAAAATTCTTAAAAGTTTCTTAAATGAAATAAATCAATATAAAAATAAGTTTTTATCTACTCATTAAATCGTATAATAGTATGTTATTTTTCAACTTTCTGATAAAAAAAATTAAAAACTCTAATCTCTCTTTTAAAATTAAACTATTATTTCATTTTATATATCCTTTACAGTAGTTACGTTTTTTTATGAAAAGATATATATAAAAAATAAATTGCAGTTCTTTAAGTTGAGTCCGTGTCATCCATTAATATTCCTCTCTCTCTATATATATATATATATATTTACCTTTTTATTTGGAAAACTATATAAGTACGCCAAGTTAAACATTTTCTAAGTCTTTTAACTTCTGAAAAGAAATGTTTAACTTAAGAATTATATATATATATATATATATATATATATATATATATATATATATACATAAAAAAAAAGGCAAGAAAGATATTTGACCATTTCTACATGAATGTGTGGAGGCTTCAATAATCAACAACCAGATTTGCAGACCCGGACTCACCTAACACATTGTACACTGGACTGACTTTTCATAATTCATTATTTCCAATTAAATATTTATCCAAACAGACCACCGGTAGTTTTCATAATATTTATACGAGTAGTGTATATTCTCCACTTATCAAACTATCATCACTTTCAATATTAATTAAAACAAAAAATTTACGTTTTTTCTACATTTTTTAAATATAAATAATTGTTTATATAACCTAAACCTAATTTATACTTATATCAGTTTAAATTTGCGGAATTTTATTATTTTAAATTTTTTATAGAAATTTTGTCAAAACAAATCTTAAATAATTTACACAGAGATTCTTTTGGTTTCGAATATATATATATATATATATATATATATATATATATATATATATATTGCCACTAATAAAAGAAATTAGTTAATATTATTAATAAATTAAATGACTGTTCAGTTTTAAATTTGTATATTATTAATCAATTATAAAGTATTATTGGAATGATTTCTAAGGTGATTATTGTAAAAAATAAGAAAAATAATATATTATACTGTAAAATATTTTTTACAGCGTCAATCTCTTGTATGATTACCTTAATCTCATTTAAAATTTATTATTTTCTGTATTTTATTTAAACTTCACATAAAAATAAAAGATGTTATTAAAAAATAAATCTCTCGATATTTGCAATTGATAAAAATTTAATTTTTTATATTAAAAATTGAAAAATAAATATTATAAAGATTTTTATATTACTATTTGACTATAAAGCTATATAGTAAGGCTATAAATTTTCATAATAATTATTTTTAGGGGATACAATTATAATAGTAACAATAATTTTGAAATATTAATAATATAATGATATTTTGTAAAGATAAAGCATAGAAAAAAAAAAAAATACAAACTACAAAGTCAGAGAGTGCGCGAGACGCCAGGATTGCATGTGGAAAACCTTCACTTCACACACAGAACTAAAAAACGATTCCCTTCAAATTCTGCAGACTTTAAATTAAAAAAATTAATTTAAAAGATAAATGGATGATATAATATATTAAATGGTAAATTTTTGAACAATATTATGCTTCAATTAATTTCGGATATACGTAATTATATTTAATATATTTTTTCATTAAATAAATTAATATAAATCGAAAGTCAATTTTAATTGAAAATTTTTCTAATGATAGTAATGAAACTGTATCTAAATTTGAATTTAAATTAAAAAAAAAATAATCAGAATGATGCACATCTTTCCAAAATGTGGACAATCCAATCTCATATCTGAAACCTGGACACTCAGTCAAGACGGAGTTTCCTGATAGCGTCTTCTTGGAATAAATTAATTGGTGGTCAAAATTCAATACATTTTTTAAAATGTAGTTCAAAATTGACAACTTTGTTTATAATAAACGCTAAGACACTAATAAAAAAATATTCTTTTACTAATATACATATCATATTTTTCGTAAGGGTGTTTGCAGTTTTATTATTAAATAATTATTTAAATTAAATATAAAAATTTAAATTGATTTGATTTTGATTTCAATTAAATTAAATCATTATTTTTTCATGAAACTAAATAAATTTGTATTAAAACATTATTAATTTTTTATGAAAATTAAATATATTTTTGAAAATTATTAAACACTTTATAATAAAAAATTAAGTAAAAAGATATACTATAAAAAATTAATAATTATTATTAAATCCTCAAATTCAACTTTTTTTATATTTATGAATAACTTATATAATTTTATAATTAAAAATTACAATATAAATTATTATTATTGATTAATTAAATATATTATAAATACAATATAACTTTCAATACATTATGTATAATTGTTAATTATATATATATATATATATATATATATATCTTTGTATTTAAATATAATAAATAATTTACTTTAATTTTAGTTTTAATTTAAACTAAATTTTTAATTGATTAAGTTTCTAAACCTTTTTTTTCATTATTTAATATTTGCATAATTTTTAATATTTTTATGACATGGGTCAATTTTGACAAGCTTTACTTACGATCAATGCCACCTTTGATGAAATTATACGGGCGGCTTTAATTGTTGTGTTTATTACTATTATTATATTCATTTGCCTTTGAAAAAGAAGGCCACAAGGAATGGAATTTATGGATAAATTAAATAGAATTGAGCATAGTATATAAATCTCTCTTCCCCGTCTTCTTCACTACCAGGGTGTGTTTGTTTATTCTTCATCATCACAAAGTGTCTTCTGTTGTGAGAGGCTTCAGTTTCCATGGATTCCATGTCTCTTATGTCCTCTCCTAATGTCTGTTCGCTCACAACTGGTTCGTCTATCTCTGCTTTTGCATCAACGGTTACTTTCTTATGTTGTTTCATGGAATCTTTTATCATACTTTTCTTCATTACAAAATTTTTAGTTACTGATACGAGGAACCGTTGGTAATTGTAGGGGGAAATCTCTGGCGAAGCAAACATTACACCAAGAACATTTCCTATGCACGTATGTCTCTCTCCCATATGTCCTGGTTTCTTCCATCCATCTTTTTTCGTTCACAATTTATTATCTTTCAAAGGATTGTAAAAATGGTGTTGACTCATTATGCTATCTAAAAAAATAAAATAAAAACTTGAATAGATCAAAGTAAATAAAAAATATTCTAAATTAATTTTGATATTTTTTACATTACCTTTGTAATATGCGTCTAAATTAATGTGCTTAAATCAGGATAAATTTTTTCTTTTTTAAATAGCCAAAATATTTATTAACTCGTTGATTCGATATAAGGTTAAATCAAACATAAAAATATGATCCGTTTTTTAAATATGAATCGGGTCAGGTCAACATACTTTTTCTAAATCTTCTTTCATGGCATCATACTAACTTATTTAACTATATAATCTTTCACATTTTTTTATACCAAGAAAATATATTTTTCGATAACGTAAATTACATAGTTTTGAAATACGATGAATTGAATTGAAGATAAAGGTGAAATGACTTTTTCTCACTTTGTTTTACAAATAGTAACATTAATATGTTTTTACTATTTCTTTACTATGATAATAAAGTAAAGGTTAAATTATTTTTTCGTGATTGTAGAAAACAATTCCATTTATTAAAAAAAAAATTCCTCCATAATTTTTTTATTTATTTTTGTTGTACATGGTTACCAATACTATCTCAAACATATTGTATTGTAGGTTCTTTTGCGCCAAAAGCTTCAATGCGACAAAGGAAAAGTCAAGTAGAATATAATCTTTCAAGGTTCCATCAACCAAGTATGAACAATCAGTTCAAAAGTGTTGAAGGAGGCTCTCTATATAAAGAAAACGATCAGAAATATATACCCAAAGCAATTTCTGAAGAATCTTTTGATTCTGAAGGAAGTGCTTCTGAACCAAAAGACATTGTTGGCTCTGTGAAACGTTTCTTTGTAGCGTTATATTGGTTTTGCTATCCTTACACAATGTTTGGTCGAGTAAGTTCTTCAATATTATATAATTCAATTTATTTGTACGAAACACTGTTTTCGATAATAGTAATATATATCTAAATGTTTTTAATGTTTCAATTTTATTTGTCACCAGACATTAAGCACAATTTCTGCATCTCTCCTAGCGGCGGAAAAACTCTCAGATATATCATCTCCTTTATTTTTCATTGGTGTGTTACAGGTGAGAGTCCAAACATGTTGTTTTAGTATATATTCAATTATAAACAATCCTTTAACTTTGGTGGTAATAATTTCTGACTTTTTAAAATGTTTCAGGCTCTGCTACCTTTCATGTTTATGGATTTTTACGTTAATGGCGTGAATCAACTGTATGACCTTGACATTGACAAGGTAAACTATTAGAAATAAATTATTTGTTAAGTTTTTTAGGTTTTGTATTATTCGTTAAAAAAATATGTTAACGACAAAATTAGTGCGTAGTTTATTTAGAAACATGTGAAAAACTGTTGTATCCTTATTTTGACTACTAGACTCCTTTTTTATATTTATATTTTGGTTAATTACGGTTCCCTAATTAATATATCGTTTGATGTGGTCAAGAAAACATGCCACCTTAAACTTTTTGCTTGTCTTATTATTAATCTATGTTTTTTTTTTTTTTCAGATAAACAAACCATTTCTTCCATTGCCATCGGGGGCGTTTTCCTTTACAACTGGTGTCATTGTTACTGTATCATCTGCAATCCTGGTTCGACATATATTCATCCTTGTTCATAATATTATTTTTCAAGATGAACTTTACTGATGGAGTAGAATGAGGCTTATTGTGTTTATTCTTTGTGTTTACAGGGTTTTTTGACTAGCTATATGATAGGTTCTTGGCCACTATTTTGGGGTCTTCTAGCATTCTTTGTGATATGGAGTGGTTATTCAATCAAGGTGAGTTATTTCCAATTGTAGCTAAACTTTTGTTTTTTGTTGTCATCTGACTCAATTGTTACTTCCAATTCATCTTGATAAGGATGCTCATAGTATATCCATATTCATAAAAAGAAATGGCTGAAAATATGAAAGGAAAAAGTTTTTGAATGAAAGAAAATTGTTGGCTCCTACGAATCCAATTTTCATTTACAATACTTATGATAACCTAAATTTTCTCTGGAATATATTTTTAAATATATGGCATAACTAGTGTGCCCATTTTGACACAATTTTTTCATTGTAAAAAATTGCATGAACAATCTCATTTACCGGTATTGTCAAATTCAGAGCAAGATATTTTAACTAATATCAACCAAAATTATTATTCAAATGCAGATTAATTTGTTAGATGAAGGCAAATGAATATATTTTTAAAAACACAACTTGTTTTATTATTGTGATAACACTATTTTGTAACTTTTCAGGGTCCCCTGTTGAGATGGAAGAAAAATCCTCTGCTTGCGGCAATGTGCATCTTTTCTACTTTGGCTCTCGTATTTCCCCTTTCGTTTTTCTTTCACATGAAGGTTTGTTCTGTAACTAATTATGCCTTTTTTTAGACCGTTACTTTAGACCAAGTGTATTAACTTATATATTCATGTAACAATAAATAAGAAACAAATCCTTATCCCCTGTTTTTAGGGTTGTATAATTGGATTCGTGATCAACTATTTAAGTACATAAATAAAAACTAAATGAGATTTGAACGAGAAAGTTAAAGAAAAGCAAAATGTGTAGTGAAACGAATGTGTTTCACTTTGAATTACTTTGAACTTGTATGTGCATCTATATTGAATATATTAAAAGCTAATTGTTTCAATTTATAGCACATTTTCAATTCATAAGCTATTACGTTAGACCACCCTTTTGTATGTATTAATATGTTTGCCGTATGATCCTTTTTCATATTATTAATTAAAGTAAGATACATTAATGGAAGAATATTTCTTTATTAATGATTCATGTAAAATTGTCCAGACTTTTGTGTTGAAGAGAGCAGCTGTGTTTCCAAAGCCACTGATGACATTTGTTGCATTCACGACCATATACTCATTAGGCATAGCACTGTTCAAGGTAAACATTTATTCTTTCTCAAAACATATATAGCATTTGGCATTTATTCTTTCTCAAAACAACATCACCCATTTGGTTCAATATGTGACCAATATTAAAATATTTTTTATTGGATCTACGTAGGATATACCTGATATCGAAGGAGATAAAGCATTTGGCATCCAATCTTTTTCAACACGTTTAGGTCAAAAACGGGTATGTTTTCTGAATGAAACATATATAGCTCATTTGGTTGTGTGCTCTTATATGTCTCTTTGATTTTCCTAACTAATCTTCCTCAGGTATTCTGGATCTGTGTTTCCATGTTGGAATCGGCTTTTGGAGTTGCAATTCTGGCAGGATTATCATCTTCTTTGCTTTGGGTTAAAGTTGTCGCGGTAATATACTTATTAAGTAACATCCATTCACTTTCCGTGATGCATCTTGCACATCATATTAGTAGCATCACATCATTATAAGTATTTAATTTTTTAACCCATTTTTACAACAACAAAAAATCTTTAAATTAGCAAGTCTAATAGGAGCAACGACCATCCACCAAATGAGACTATATTATTTGTAAGAAAATAAAAGAAAATGTTTGCATTCAAGGTCCTTAGCTGTTGAAAAACTACTAGAGAATACAAAGTTTATTTTTCCCTTGGAGCCTCTTTATAGATACTAAGTACGAACGAAGTGTAATAACAAACTCCAATGTTGTTTAATATTATTTATTGGTTTGTGTTATGGTAGATATCTATACTTGAATAAATATTCCTCTAGGAAAGTTATCTTTGTCATGTATATCATTGCAACTTCCTAATCTTGATAGGAGTGTCAAGAGTAAAAATTGAATCTTTAGATGACCCAATCGTTCCTACAAAGTGGAGGATTATTACTTTTCAATGGTATGTATATATATTTAGTTCTTTTCAATAATGTTTGAAATTGGGTGCCAATTTTTTAGGGTTTGGGACATGCTGTTCTTGCTTCAATTCTCTGGTACCAGGCCAAATTTGTAGATTTGAGTGACAAAGGTTCCATTAGATCCTACTATATGCTGATTTGGAAGGTAATACTCTTAAAGAATCTTTACCATCTATATAGTTAAATTTCAATATTATTATTTTAAAAATAAATATTCAAATTGTTTGCCCTACAACGTGTGGTACATATATTGTATTGATATTCGGTTTGTTTCTGCAGCTATTGTACGTATCCTACTTCCTCATACCTATGATTAGATAGGGATGTCGTTGAAGGTTAAAGCAACGTTCATAGCACATTCGACGAAATAAACCAGATTTGTTTTGCATCTAATTTATTGAAATAGTCAAAACTGTAGAGATATTTTTTATTTTATATGAGTTGTTGTATCATTAAGTTCTTTCTTTAATTATGTAATGATTTTACATATTGAAATTAATCTATATTATCAATTTTTTTTATGAATTACTTTTGGTCTATTGGATTAATACTAATTTTTAATGGAATCAAATACAAAGCCGAAAGCCCAAGTATTCTAAGAAAAAGAGCAATTATGTATGCTTTATATTATTTATATAAAAGATAAAATTAAAAAAAACTAATAAATACAAAAAAAAAAAATCTTAAATTATTTTATACTCTCTTTTTCACTATTATACTACATCCACCAATTAAGCTACTTAAAACCTAAACGCTAGAACCTCCAAAAAAACAAACCCACAAAGGCATTATAAACGTCCAATTTTACCCTCTTCCTATTATATATGCTTAAAAGGATTTAAGTGAGTCTAAATCTCACACATTTAAATCAAATTATAGAAAATTAAGTCAACAAATAAAAGTTTAAGATTGAAGAGAAATGATTGGACTTCTTCAATCCATTTTACATATTGTCTTATCCAAAAAATAATTAAATTAAAAATTAATATGTCCAACAATATAGTACAAAAAGAAAACCCCTAATAAATACAAAGAAAAAAAAATATCATAATTATTTCATACTCTCTTTTTTCACTACTATACTACGTCCACCAACTAAGCTACTTAAAGCTCTAATTATTAACAAGCTTTCTTAAGTCGTAACTAGATCATGGTGGGGATGACGAAATAAAAAAAAAAATGTCACTGTAACTTACTAGGGAAAAAAAAAAAAAAAAAAACTAAATTTGGATTGTGAGTCAACTAGGAACAGTAAAAAACATGATTATTGCGAATGTGTGTGGATGATTATTGTTATTTTAAAAATATTTATATTACTTTTTAAAAATAAAAAATGTTATCCTTTAGTATTTATGGTTTTAAAGAAAAAGGTCATTATTAAAAAAAATTAATAATATTTAGAAAAAATAATCATAAAAATATTTATTAGTTTGATAAGTTATTGAAATTATTTCTATGAATTTTCATTTTATAATGAAAAATTAGAATTGATTTTTTTGTTGATATTTTTTGTTTTGGAATTTTAATATTAAACTTTTTTTAATCATATGTAGTTATTGTAATTCATGTTGCACATCTAATATAAGATGTGCATGATATTCTTAATCACATCCTTAATAAAGATAATATAAGTTATATTTATTTCTTTTTATGGTTTTTGTTGTTCTTTCGTTCGTTAATTCTGATACTAGTATAGAATGTGTCTTTTACGTCAGTTATTTTGGATTTTTTATATCTTATATAAGATCGACGTTAAAATAGAAGACGTAAATTTACATCAGACCCTTTGATCGACGAAAATTCACGTCAGATATTGAGACCCGACATTAATCTACGTTGCATATATCACGAAATAGACGTAAAAGGCTTCGAAAATTTAAAAAATTGGATGAAATTTACATCGGACGTGTACATGTCCAACACAAATTTACGTCGGACATGCACACGTCTGACGTAAATTTCATCCTATTTTTATTATTAGGTTTATTTTATCTTACAACAAAAACCTGCAAACATATATTATAGCCAAACAGTCCAGAAGTTCAAATTTCTTTAGCTAGTAAATAAAAAAATACAATATTATATATAATTCAAACTACAAATGTTAAATTAATACACCATGCTAGTACAAAACCTAAACTACATAATAAAACATAAAAAAATATAATACAAACAATAACCTACAAACTAAAAGCTAGTACAAACTAAACTACCTAAACTACATAATACATACAATATAATACCAACAATAATCTACAAACTAAGTACTAGAATTGTTGAACGATAAACCTTGCTCATTGTTCTCTAATTTGTATGATATCATGTTCTGGCAATAGAGATGAATCTTGAAATACGTGAAATATTAATTTAACTTTTGTAAACATGCAACATGCATAAAGTTTAACTAATGTTGAAAGCAATTACCTCCGTCCAAGAATCAGTTATACTCGCACAAACTATAGCTCTCATCCAATACATGACATAGTAACAACATTCAAATGAATTTGTTTGCTTATTACACTGAAATGATGAATAAAACATAATGCTATTTTTAAAATTTAAATGCAAACAATAATTATGGTATTCACTTATATAAATAAGTTTCTAACCTTAGGATTATGCCCACTATTTACAAAATTGTCAGTGTTGTTTTTAGGTTGGTTATTGTTGGATCTGACGTTAATTAGGTGATGTAAAAAGCTCTTTCTGCACTAGTGTGATTTCAATTCTAGTTTTGAATCCTCATTATCCATATACAATAGTATTTGGTGATTAGAAATGAAGATAATATATCTTATTTATAGAACTTCATTGGAGTTATCAACCTTAAAATTTTTTTGTAGAAGTTATGATCTATATTCAAATATTATTTTATAATGGATTGAACCTAACTTGATCTATATTCAAATTCAACATAATTGTGAGAGAAAAAAATGAGACATTTTCCTTAATTTATGGGATGCAATTTATGTTCATTAAGATGTGTAGTTTTTGTATGTTATCATAATAATCTCTAAGTTGGTGTTTTTATTCTATTATTAGTGAAATTAATATATGAATCATAATGATAGATCCTCTAATAACAAATATTATCTCCCATGTATCATAATACATCAAGTATCTCATCATAAACTTTTTAGCTTTTAATGAATAAATCACATGTTTATTCTATCACAATTAAATGAGTTTTCTAAATATATATATATATATATATATATATATATATATATATATATATATATATATATATATATATATATATATATATATATATATATATATATATATATATATATACACACACACAAAATAAATGAGAACACATTAAATTGAATAAGAGTGTTACAAATAAAGGTATTTACAATTATTGGCATGTCATGAAACCAAGTCTCATTTGTGTTCCATGGTCCTTAAAATTCTTCCATAAAGAATCTACCATCATCAAATCAATACTAAAGTTAATTTGGCTTTAACGTGTTATCTTATAACTAGATATTTAATGTTAATTTGGCTTTAACTCTTGTTATTATTAATCATAGATACTACAATCAAGTTATCATTATACAACTCAATGCCCTAATAATTAAGTCCATAATTATAAGTTCATATATAAAATTCTTTAACCAAACTTCATGTGAGGTAGCCTTAAAACAAGAGGCAAACTCAATCTCCATAATGAAAGTAGTAGTTAAGGTCTACTTTTTACTACTCCAAGACATCATTCCATAAGCTAGCATAAAAATGTAACCAAATGTAAATTTTTGGTATTAGTACAGATCAACGAAGTTTGAATAAGAATAACCCATGACTTCCAAATTATCAATATGTTTGTATATAAGCATGGAATTATTTGTTCATTGAAATTGTGCCATTACCTCTTTTGCATCTTTTCAATCGTCAACACTAAATAACTTTGATATCTTCCCAAAATTTCAACTACAAATGCAATGTCAGGTTTAGGGAAAACCTCACCATACATAAGATTTTGAAAAATTGAAGCATATAAAATATATTAGAAGAGAAGTCCCACATTGGGGGATTTATACTTGGATACTTACTTTGCTGATTATATAAAAAACACAATGTTTACATTATAAATTATCCCAAAATCACTTCCTTATATTAGTATATTGTATAGTGTTATGTCCTCTTATTTCTTAGAGAGAATATTATTATTTTCTCCTTAGATTTAAAGCAAGAAATTATAATTTCTTTTTGTAGTAAAATTACATTATTGTATATTGTCATTTTGTTCCTATTTTCTCATCTTTTATTTTATACTGCTACTTTGATTCTTAACAATGGTAACAAAGCCACTTAGTTGTGTTATTACTTTGTTACTATAGTCATTAGAATAGTGATAAAGAATATTCTTAGTATGTTTTGTGGTTATAATTAATATGATCTTCCACATAAAAAAAAGAGTTATTCTAATTACTAAATATAAAGTGTAGTAGTGTGATATTGCATGTCTAGGAAAAGTTTTGGCAAGGGAAAAGTTGGTATTTATGTGTCTATTTGTAACTCACCTCTCTTTTATGGGAGCTTACCTAGTGTACTAGTTATAGTATGCATTGTTTGAGTAGGTAATACTATTTATAATTAAAGATGCATATGTTTCAACTTTTTCATTAACTCCTTACAATATTCAAGAAAATTAAAATTTTTAACAAAGTAAAGAATGGGTTTGTCACTCTGTCAATTTCTCTATGACTTTTTGCGATCTCGGTGATTACTTGGTTGGTCATCCATGCTAATTTTAGATAATGATCTTTCTAGAACATAATTATCATCCTCTAATTCTTTGATATGATCCTTGTCTGTAAATTTAACAAGTTCATCATTCTATAATAAAATTTCTGCCATGAGCTCTTTGATGAAAATTTCTTTTTCTTTAATTCTTCCAGCCAGTTCTTGTATCTTCTATCTTTCCTCTCTCCATTCATCCTCATGAGCTATAGTTGTCTATCTTGTTTGTTGTTTATATCGTCTTTCCGTCTCTACCCAATTTTCATATTTAGTCATCACTCTTTCTATAATTGTTATTGGAGGTCTTCAAGTAGTTTCCTTATCTTTCTTTTAACAATCTTCATATTTTACAATTCTTCGTTTAGTTGCTTGTTATATGTTAATACTTCATTACTCTCTTGTCTTCTTAGTCCTAGCTCCCTATTTCTTGCTCTGAAATAGTGTTAAATTTTAGTTTGCATTTTTCTTCAGCTTTGACCTTACCATTTGCCTCTTCTAATAACCTCTTTCTTTGAGAATTTTCCTCTTCACTACCTTCAACTTGTGGTGAAACTCTTTTAGTTCTTTTTTCA